GATATTACTCTATGTAAATAAAACACTGATGGCCAGTGACCAGGCAGGAAGTATAGGCGGGACAAAGAGAGAGAATTGGGGAAACAGGAAGAAGGGGGGAGAGACACTGCAGCCACCGCCAGGAGAAGAGCATGTAAAGAAGCCGGTAAGCCACCAGCCACGTGGCAAGCTATAGATTTATAAAAATGGGTTAATTTAAGATATAAGAACAGTTAACAAGAAGCCTGCCACGGCCATACAGTTTATAAGTGATACAAGCGTCTGAGTGATTATTTTATAAGTGGATTGTGGGACTGCGGGGCTTGGGGAATCTGGAGAGAAGCTCTCCAGCTACAGTGTATATGAAAATTCTGCAGAAATCGTATCAGAAAGCAAGTGAGATAACATTCCAGGAAAAATTGAATTCTATGTGTATGAATTGTATCTATTTAAATTGTTGAAATCTAAAATTATAAAGAACTACTCAAGCATCTGGTGGAGAGATAACTAGTTCTTCATCAGGAAGATATCAGCCTGGCAACAGATGTTTTACAGAAACATGCAAAGGTTAAATAATGGAATATGTTTACAAAGTACTAAAGGGGCACACTAGCTGCTTGTTATTCTGTTAGCATCCCACTGAATTAGAAAGTCACTAGGCATATGAAGACACTGCCTAGTGAAACGTGAAAGAACTTGAGAAACTACTGTGAGCCATCCTGGTGAAGTGCTTCCTCTTTACCAGCCAGTGGAGAGGTAGATGAAAGGATAAACCAGGAAATAGAGAGGGCAGCATGCTGGGAGCATTGGCTCCTTTTCATACAGGGAAGAGTAGAAAAGGGCTACACATCATGGCTCCCGATCAAGCCATTTTGTCTTATAGAGAAATAGATAGACATAAGTAAATCATAAAGCTAGCTGTAGAATTGGCCAGAGCTAGGAAAACCTGATGGACCATTACAAAGTCGACACAGGAACATCTGATTTCGCAATTGCTAACATGAACTGACAATTTACGGGTTGGACAGCACAGACCTCAACGAGTTCAGTGTTCCAGTGAGGCTGTGGCTGGTGAAAATTTTTCCAATACTCTCCCTGACAAGAACAATGTCTGTGTTTGATGAGCCAATGTACAAAGTCTTCAGAGATGGGTTGGCAGCTTCTGGTAGCAAAGTCTCCATCTTTCATTTCTTGTTTATTTTGTGAACCACAAACACTGGAGTTACCCAGGCCAAAGGCCACATTAAGGCTCTGTAATGGACTGTAGCTGGATATTTTCCTGTGTCCCACCCAGTCCTGTAGCCTCTCAGATCCAAGTAAACACACAGAGGCTTATATCAATTATGAATTGCATGGCCATGGCCGATGGCTTAATTTTCTTGCTAGCTAGCTCTTATAACTGAACTCAGCTGATTTCTATTAATCTATATGTCACCATGTGTTCTGTGGCTTTACCTGTGTACCATTACATGCCGCTCCATGGTTGGTTGAATGGCGTCTCCTCCGCCTCTGCCTTTCTTCTTCCTGTCTCTCTCCTGGATTTCCTACCTGCCTCTAAGCTGTCTTGCCATAGGCCAAGCCCCTTTATTTATCAACTAAGCAGATTAACACATATTCACAGCATACAGAAAGACATCCCACAGCAATGGACAGTTTGCTATTTTCTGTTGTCATGATTAACAAGCAAAGAACAAAGACTGTGTTTGATGAGCTAAGGTAGAAAGTCCTCAGAGATGGGTTAGCAGCTTCTGATAGGCAAAGTGTCCAGCTTTCATTTATTGTTTATCTTAAAAACCACACGCATTGGAGTCATCCAGTCCAAAGGACACGTTAAGGCTCTGTAACGAAGAGCTAGCTATTTTCTGTTGTCATTAAACAACAACGCATGTTAATGCATGTCAAGCAGACAAACCGAAGAAAGAAAGCTCTATTTTGGATTCCAGTTTCAGATGAGCCAGTCTATGGTGAGCTGACTCCATTAGTGTGGCTCTGTATTGAGACAGAAGTATTATGGTGACAGGCATGGCAAAACAAACATGTTCATCTCATGGTGGCCAAAAAGTAGAGACAAAGAGGAAGGAACCAGTGACAAAATACATCCTTATGGCACTCCTCCAGTGATACACTTGCTCCAGCTAGGCCCTACTTCCTAAGAGCCCATGCAGCTGTGAACTCAGTCCATTGGTGAGGTGAGCACCCTTACAACCAAATCACTGCCAAATGGCACCAGCCGCTGGGGATCGGCCTTTGACATCTGAGCTATTCATGGGGAAAATCTGTATCCAATCCCGAAGAAGAAATGAACCCTTAACCTAGATCATTTATTGACATATGAGGCAGAAATGCATGCAATAAAATAAGGAGGGGCAAAGCCCAAGAAGAGCTGGACTGCACTTGTTACCTAAAATGACAAAAGTATATTTAAGAAGGCATGGGGCTGGTGAGATGGCTCTGTGGGTAGAGGCACTTGCTGAAAGACAGACAATCATAATGAAAACAAAAACGAAATAAAGTTTAAAATATATACCATGATTCACATGAAGCCTCTTACACGTACTTCTTCCCACCATGTGCACTAAAGAATAAAGAACATGGCGTGCTTGTGCACTCAGAGGGGGCACAGGAACTTGGAGAAGATTTAAGACCAAGGTGAGCTTGGTGAGTAATTCACTCAGACCTATAGATTCTTTTTACCATTTCTATATCTGTAGCATGGCTTGTATGCCTATATATAAAAGGTCCTGCACCCCATGTTTTATCTGGGGATACCCTAACAGCTTCTGGGGCTTCCTTGCTTCTTTTGCTGAAGGCTGTAAATGCCAAGCTGTAAATCCCAGCACAGTTCTGGACCAAGGACTCCTTGGCCAAGGTCTTGAAAGCACGGCTTCCTTGTTCTTGTGGGGACAAACTTGGGAGTTATAATCTACACAGGCAGAGCAGCATTTCCCCAGCACTTCCTTAGTTCACTCGGACATGGAACTTTGCCCCAGCATCTGGTCTGGGGGAATTTGCATTTGGCCATCTTTAAGTGTGTTCAAGTCCATAGACCTGTGTATAAGAAGCTTAAAATACACAAAGGGAGGGACTTCTAGAGGGTCTTCAGTGCCACAGGGGTCTTTCTGAAGATCACAGAAATATTTATTTAGTCTAATGATCAACCTGCGATGGTTATACCCGCTGCTGTCCTTTGTCCCTAAAGGAACGGCATACCAATCACAAGTTGTCCTTTTTAGATACTCCCCCTACCCCACCACCCCAGAGAACAGGCTGGTATACAGAACTCTTGTTGCTTAACTCCTGGTCTTTAGAACCTCTGCATCTTTCATGAAAAAGAGTGATTTTCAATTGTTTTAGTAGGAGAGCTTCTTATTTTTTTTTCCCAAATGGAGTTGTGGGCAAGAGGCCAACATGGAAAAGCTGAGATGAATCCCAAAGGAGAATGCCTCTGATATGCGAGTGACATACTGTCAGGCTAGAAGCAGGACATACCACTGAGGGGCCGCTATACTCATCCTGTGGATTGTTGGCAATACTCAGGGAAGAGTTACAATGAGAACTAATGAACTGCTTGTAATTTTGTACATGTGGCTCCCCCCACCCTCATTCCTTTACTTTTCTCTTATTTCTGCTCTGAAGCCCACGGCGTCCAACAACCCCTGTAGCACGAATCTTAATAGGTCTTATTAATAAAATCAAACCTGAAACCAGGTATTGGGGTGAATGCTGGAAGATCAGAGAAGCAGAACCAGCCACAGCTTCCTCACCTCCACAGTTCCTCACCTGATTCTGTTTCCTCAGACTGGAAGACTCTGAGTCCTCATCCCAGTGGATCTCAGCTGAACTGCTGCTCAAAAGCCTCAAACCTTAACCAGGCTAGTTCCTGGTTTTCATGCCGTAAATACCTTTTTGCTTCCTGCCATCACTTCCTGGGATTAAAGGCGTGTGTCACCATGCCTGGCTGTTTCCAGTATGGCTTTGAACTCACAGAGAACCGGATGGACCTCTGCCTCCAGTGCTAGGATTCAAGGTGTGTGTGCCATCATTTTCTGGCCTCTATGTCTCTCTAGCAGCTGTTCTGTTCTCTGACACCCAAATAAGTTTATTGGGGTGCACAATATGTTGACCACAAACCCCAAGCAATCTCTTTGATTGACTAGATGGAAGAGACTAGACTTGTTAGCCTGGCCACATGCAAAGACCACTAACTAGTTGCCCTTAGGTTACAGGAAACCTCCAGGGCACCCATGGTGTCCAGTAAAGGCCTCCAGCAGTCAGGCAAGGGCAGGGGATCCTACCAGGAAAACAGAAACAAAGGGCCACAGAAAAACGGCATGACTACATAGTTAGTCTTTGGCAGGTAGCTAAAAAAAAAAAAAAAAAGTTGCATTTTTTTAATTTTAGTTTTTCTCTTTTTGAAAGACAGAGTGGAGTCAGTTGCCTTGAGTCTGTGGCAGTCAAAGGAAGCGGCCAGAGAAAGGGAAGAACTGTTATCAGAAACGAACAGGGCACCGTGGTTGTTGACATCGTGGCCGTAGTCCAGAGCAGAGTCCAGAGCCAGAGGGCCCACAGGTTGCTAGCTGCCGGGACTCTCGCATAAGCTGGCGCCTCACGGCTGTGTAATCTAGTTGCTGTGTAATGTGACAGTCGATGCTCAGAGGGAATGTCTCAGTCTGGCTTCACAGGAAGTAGTTGATTTCTGGTGTCATCGACAGCTCCTAAAGCCCCTCCAGATGAACCCTTCTTCAACCATGACAAAAGTCCCCCCATGAATTCCTCTAGACGTGCAGTGATCAGCACTGTTAAAAGTAACCAAGGGGGAATTCAATTAAGGATTTCCTAAGCTGCTAGTGCATCTCCTTAATTCTCACACACTTTTTAAGTAAGCACCATTAGTGGCGCGTTCGTGACTGATAAGGAAACAGTTTTAGAGGAACTCAATGACTCTTGAAGTCTCTCTAATAGAATGTGCTGTGGCTGTCACCCACTTGAAATCATGTTAGAATCACCTGTGTACTACAAAGTATTTATAGCATGGGTTCCAGGTATGTGCCACCCAAACTTTCTCAACAACCTCAGGACTGGAAATTCACGGCAGAATTAGGCTGTTATCTCCTGGTCTTCCTCTTAGGGGAGGAGGAAACCCCAAGTTCCAAGTCTATCCGGGAGGCCCCACTTACCCTGCTCCTAGGACCGCAGCCAGCAAGACCAGGAAGCAGGCTGAGATCGACTCCAAATGCTTTCATTGGCTGTTCAAGTTGACCTGCCCCCTATGCCTGGTTAAAACCAACCCAAGGATCTCTGGGAAATGTAGTTGTATGGCCCCACTTGCCCTGGGAACTCTTTCTGAAGTCCTTTCTTTGAAAAGGAGTAGGGTATCTTGTGAAGGGCTTTTATATTTCAGAGTTTATGCGCTCTCGGAGCCTGTGGAAGCTCAAAGCTTGAAAAGGGTTCAGGCAAAGCAGATCCAGGACTTAGAGGAGGAAGAGACGGCCGTGTCTCATTCACACTCTTGAGTTCATGAATCACCTTCTATCAATCTACGTTTTCCTTTATCTTTCTTTCCCCTCTCATCTTCAGGCCCTTCTTCTCCTATCCCAAAGGCACTGTGGAATGTGTATGACGTGTGTCCGTACAGGTGCTGTGAACAGGACACACGTCATATGTTTGTATTTCTTCTGTTTTAGATTTATACTCATGATACTGGCAGATAATGCTCGGGGCTTCTTAGCTGTCTCCCTGTACACTACTAAAGACTCTTCATGACAGCATCAGTCCTTTGTGTTGTCCCTTTGGCACACACTATTCTTATATTCTGGGTAGTAGAAAACATTCTTAAGTTTAAGCTTCTGGGGGCGGGTCCTCAGGGGAGGTGGGGTGACTTATAGAATCCATATCCCCACTTTCTGTCTGTTCAGCTGGGTCACTCTGAGGCATGCACAGTGATACCTCTCAGTGTGGATGAGAGAGATTTTGCGTCCTTTATTGATAACAACCAGTTGTTATCAAGCTGCTTGTGTATTTTTATACCTGCACTAGCACTTCCCAACTACTATATTGCTACAAATGAACAACCAAGAGAAAAACAGCTATGCTGTGGCCGATGTCTGTGATGCTAGCACTTGGGAAGTGAAGGTAGGACACTCAAGAACTCAAGGTCGTCCTGAGTTACATAGCGAGTTCAAAGCCAGCTTGAGCTACATAGGACCATTGCCTTAAATACAAAACAAAGCAAAAGCAAAAACAAAAAACAAACAAACAAACAACAACAAAAAACCACCCTTGTGGCAGTGTAACCTGTATTTTTGTTGATATCCCAGCCCTTGCTTTTCTGTTGACCTTGATATGATATGACTGGTTGAAGGCTGAAGAATACAGGACTATCCAGTTTTAACCAGAGCCCTGGCACTGGAGTCTGCATGGAGGAGGGCCCTCAAGAGCACTCTGGGCTGGATTACGGGGAATAATAGGTTTACTGAAGAGTTATTAACAGCATGGGTACATAGATGGAGGGCAGGGGATCCAAGGAGAGTCTGGGCCTCAGCTCCAGAGACAGACAGCATGGTGGGGTCTCTGAAGAGAACAAGAGCCCATGTGGTAGAGGAAGGAGCCTCTTCTTATCCCTTTTGAGGTTAGGGTAAGTTCTCAGCAAGAGCCTGCAGCCAGGATCTCTGATTCCCAGGCAGGAGTCTAGGAAGGGAGTCGGGAGGAAGATGTACGAACCAGCAATGCCAAAGCCAGTGCTTCCCTTAATGTGCACTCCATCGGGACTTCCTGTTAGCTAGGGACTCAGATGCTAAGGCACCTGTCAGTCAGTATCCGTGACTATGGAGTGAAGGCTGCTGCAAGTATCGTGGCCTGAAGAGAGACTAGATTCTAACATGACAGTCTTAGAGAATCCAGTCAGAAAACATAAAGAGAATTCCGAGATTCAGATTCTGGGGCACAAACTATACACTTACATCTTTGGCATCTGTTCTCATTCAGCATGCTGCAGGAGACAGCTCACAATGTGAACAGGATTTTAACAGGAGTAAAGTAAAGGAGGGAAAGACTTAGAAGTAATTACCAACATTACTTATTCACTCAAGGACAAAACACTTTGTGTGTGGTAGTGATGTAAACAATTCTGGGCTTCCAGTGTACTGGACCAGTAGTCTAGTGCTGGGAACTACCTCCCTAACCCTACATTGGTGGTCTTTATGTCCAGTACGGAATATATATGTCTCAAACTCAGTTTTATTTCTTGAATCAGATACACAAGTTTACCTAGTACTGTGCTCAGGGTTTGAACTCCAAGATCCACTAAGAAGCATGTTTGCTTGCTTGTTTCCTTTTAAGCTAAATTGTAGAATGGAGTAGAAGGATATAGCAGGGATATTAAACTAGGATGAAAGGAATACAGACGACACCAACTCTTATCACATCCCAATACCTCCAAGAAACCTTTGACTCATATCCTGTCAGCCAATACTATTTTAATATAGTTAACAATTAATATACTTTACGTTTCCCAGATAACATATATTTTATGAGCTATAAAGATTATTACATGAGGTATAAATCACCTAATTCCAAACATCAGTGTTCCCATAGCTTAAAAAAAAATCAAATACAAACAGAACTGTGTCTGCAAAATTAGCCCTGGAAGAAATTCTAAGCCATGTCATTGTGTTGGTGCCTACTCATAGAGACCCATGCATTGGTTTGAATTTTGTCTTTAGGTCTAGGTTTCCTGGAACTGGAATGATGGCTCATTCTTGTTGGCTTTATTCTGATCCTAAGTTGTGAAGGTGGTTTCTTGTAAACCTTGGACATCAGATTTATTCTGGCTAAATTTAATGCCTGCAGTTCTCTGTTAATTCATAGTCAACTACCAATATAAGTTTTATATGAGTTCAACAATAGCATAATGCTTGAAGCTTTTCTATTACAAATGAATATGGCTCCCAAAATAACCACATCTTCATTAAGAATTTTTTATATGATTAATCTTGAAAAGATTGTGGTTATATCCATTGAAATTTTTATTTAATTATAATTGATAATATTTTTCTTGGTGAAATGATAGGACAGCTAGGATTTCTTTTCTATAAAACGTAGGAAATAGAAGATACAAGTCATTAGTTGATCAATATCCACCTGGGTGATGATTCTTTAAGGCCTGTTATGGATACATTTGCATATGTTTCAAATGTTTAAGAGCATGAAATAATAATCAAAAGTGGTTTTGCATCTCATCCTAAATGGTAAAAGATAGGTTACCATTTTTAGGCACAAACTTTCTCTCCAAAGAAATGCCAAATGCAGTTTTCAGGATGTCTTCTATTTCTTCCTCCTTCGCATTCCTAATCTCGACCAGATCTACATTGTCCTTATAACTGAATTTCCTACTTGCAATGGTGGAGCCTATTAAACAGCACACGCCTTCTGTGGTCTGCAAGGAGCAAAACGACGTGTTTACAAATACAGATGACGGTGATGTCTGAAGGTAGGTATTTGAATATTCAAATTCTTCGATAGTGCGGGGTTTGAGAGTGAAAGAACAGATTTTTCGATATTTGGTCTTCTCAAGGAGATCTGAGTTAACAAATTCTTGGTTTGGGACATACTGCTCTCTTCTGATTTGGTCCAAGTACCAGGTTCCGTTCTCTTCTGTCAAACGAAAGATGGCAGGTGCCTGAGGCTGATCCTTCCCTGACACTAATTCCAGAGGCTCCCACATCTGGAGGGAGCCTCCGTAGGCAGCATCAGCAACATAGTTTCTGTCACCGATGGTCACCTGTACTAGAAGGTGAACCATTTCGCTGCTGTATTTATTGACTGGATCTATGTAAACGTATCCTCCCAACATCGCGGCTTCAAAGCCCATTTTGGTCAGAGCCCAGTACAGGAGATGATTAACCTGGAGACACCACCCACCCCGCTTCTTCCTCACTATGTGGTCAAAAACGGTCTCTAAACCCAGATCCATGGCTTCGCCACTATGCATGTTAAGGTTCTCAAAAGGAACTGTTCGCATCTGGTGCTGAAGAACTTCAGTTAATGTGTCCAAGTCCAATTTATTCGCTGAGTTCTTATAACCAATCCTTTCAAAATACGCTTCGATGTCCATGGTCCCCTAAGGCAAACAACACGAAACCAAACGAACATTACAACAGTTCCTGTAGATGTCTGGAAGTTGGCTAACTGTAGCTAGAATGGACTGTTAACATGTATATATGAACAATGCCTGTAAACATCTCATTGACAACCATATTGCATCTACTGCATGACTTGCTTTTACCTACAGTTCATTAAATATTCTCAGTGACCCTTGAGGGAAATTTTTGTTGTTTTCTTATATTTTCAAAATTTTGATGTTAGAAAGTCAGATTAAAAGATTAGTCAAAAGACTAACAGCTTAGATGTGGTCTTCTTGATAGTAAATGGTAGACATTGTCATTGGCATCCTGCAAAATAAACTTCTAAACAGTTATTCATTGTGTGGTTTGAAAGAAAACGACCCCCAAAGGAAGTGGCACCATTAGGAGATGTGGCCCTGTTGGAGGAAATGTGCCACTGTGGGGGTGACCATTGAGGTCTCTTTTTCTCAAGCTTCTCTCAGAGTGACAGTCAGTCAACTTCCTGCTGCCTTCTGGTCAAGATAGCCAGTACCACACCTGCCTGCATGCTGCCATGCTCTCTGCCATGATGATAATGGACTGATCGATCCTCTGAAACTGTAAGTCATCACCTTACAGTTGCCGTGGTCATGGTGTCTCTTCATGGCAATAAATACCTTAAGACATTCATGAAAATGGGAGAATTATGCAACAGAGAACATAACGGCCATGCTGAGTGGCCCTCTCCACCACCAATGCTGCTTACTCAAAGATTTACAGTGATGGTCCAATTCATCCCTACACTTAACAAATGGTTTAATAAATACCCTCCCGATACCCACTCTTGTTCTAGCATTTCCTTGTCCTCCAAAATTTTGCATTTTAGTGGGCATTAAAATAATACATAAAGTGAACCAAGTGAATTTATTTTTAAAAATAATGTGGTAACTGTCCACAGGATAGCTAAAACAAGGAACGATAGAGGTACAGGGAGAGTTTCGCTGTGAAATAATGTGGGTGAAGCAAGCCTCACTCAGACTTGAAGGATGCTAGACACTGAGCCCAGTGGATATGTGTGAAGAAGGTGGTTTCTAGCAGAAGGAATAGAAAGTCTTCGATAAATGTTCTAGGAAGCCAGGATGACTGGGGCAGGTGGGTGGGAAGAGTGGACTGGAATGAACTCCCACTGCTACCAATGTCTTTATGGCTCATGGAGACACTGTGAGTCTTGCTAAAATGAGATGAAGAGTGTAAAGGATGGCGTAGAGGACTGTCACACTGTGACATTTGTTGCAGTCAAAATCAGTTTTCTGGCTGACCTATGAATAATGGGATGTCTACATAAACCACTATCAGTGATCAAATGCAGTCAGGCGTTCCCATTCAAAACACGACACTCCAGAACCAATGTTTGAGTCACAATGTGCATGTGGTTCAAATGCATCAGTGAGGTGTTGTTGAGAGACTTATGTTCTGCAGCAGAGGCAAATCTATTGAAATAATGACAAAAAGCAACACTAACAAAGACTGTGCAATGGAAAAGTGAAGAAATTAGTACTAATGCTATTAGCAGATTGCTAATATGAACTCTCCACTCCATAAAATCACTTTAATCAATCTGGTTAGAAAGTGTTTGGTAACCTGCTACCCAAGAGCCTTGACTGACTGAGACTTTGACTACGACAGAAGAACACAGACCCTGAGATGAACACTTTTACAATGTCGTACTCTCTGAAATGACACGGTACACGGGGCCTGGCCCTCAGATCCATGGTGACAACCTAACTATTACTTCCCTACAGCATTTTTTTTTCCTGCACAGCCATGCTGCCCATATTGTCAGGGCTTGCACTTTCTCCTGTAGTGATGTCTGTAACACTTCTCCCAAATCATTAGCTCTGTTATACCATCACCCTTCTTTGGCATTTAGACAGCTTCTAAAATCTATCATTCAGTCCTAGAAAGAACAAGTGTTGTTTATCAGAACATCCTAAACTCCTCCTGGCCCCCATCCCAGAATCTGCACTAACTCTGTTAGGAAGAGAGAGGAAGATTGAACCAAATGAGAACAAGTCGTTAGCCAGCATGCTTTCTATTAGGAAACTCTATTTCTCTATAAGCGCTATATTTATTTATTTATTTATTTTTTTTTTTAAAGATTTATTTATTTATTTATTTTATATATACATGAGTGCTCTATCTGCGTGTGTCCCTGCACACCAGAAGAAGGCATCTGTTCTCACTACAGATGGTTGGGAGCCACCATGTGGTTGCTGGGAATTGAACTCAGGACCTCTGGAAGAGCAGTCAGTGCTCTTAACCTCTGAGCCATCTCTCCAGCCCCAAGCGCTATATTTATATTGAAGGTTTTCATCGTCTCTATCCCTGTCTGCTCCCCTCTTTCCCACCTCGCTCTTTCTCCAGGCATCTTCTTTTTTCACTAACAAAAGTCCCCTTTATGATAAAATGCCAAACTGGAAAGTATTGATTGAAGCTCCATTGGAATGAAATTTGCTAGGGACCTCGATACTAGTACCATCTTGTAATCAATCCATACTTGGGGTAGCCTGTGCCTAAGCATATTTTAATTCCATGTTATTGAGGCTGAGATTTAAAATGAAATGCTGAAAACACTTATAAACTAGTTGCCAAGAAAGTCCTTAGTGAAACCCTGCTGGATCCACACGATGACCTGCAGCGTCTCTGCGCAGCAGCAGACTCCTTCCTCTCCTCTTCATCATCACAGGAAGACTGAAGGGATAGAAGAAACACACTAAGGGAGCCCACCCAGAGCGATCCAGCTCTGCATACCTGTGCTGGTAAGTTTAATGTAGGCTGATTGGCAGGTTTAATTCGGATGTCTCAGGATGCTTCTTCTTCTTGTGAAAACTGTAGAAACAATAAAAATAACTTCAAATATATATATGTGTGTGTGTGTGTGTGTATAAATAAAACATGGTTTTTCCTTTTAAAAACATTATTTTTTTACTTGTGTGTGTATGTGTGTGCCTGCTTGAGTTTATGTGCACCACACGCCCACAGGCAGGTACAGAGACAAAAAGGGGGCATCAGATCCCCTGGTTCTGAGCCACCTGATGTAGGTGCTGGGAACTGAACCCAGGTTCTCTGCAAGAACACTAAGTGCTATTAACCACCAAGACAGCTTTCCTTAAAAAGTGCTATTAACCCCAAGACAGCTTTCCTTAAAAACAAAATGGTAGTTTTATGTGGACCACACATTATGAAAAATCCCTAAATATTTTTGAACAGAGTGAGTTTGCAAACTAGTAAAGTGAGCATCTGATATACACTGGGACATTTATTCACAGGGTTCTTATGGGAGCTGGGAGCACCATGACAGACTCTAAATTGTGAGGTCTAGAAGTCATGAGTCATCCAGCAGCCAACCAGATGACTAATTGCCATGGGACAGCAAGGATGGACACCAAGACCAAGACGCAGCGAGAGCATCTGATCTTCCCGCAGGAGACGATTATATTTGGAAATACTGGAGCAGGAAAACAAAGCGATAGATTAATAGAGGTGGAGAGGAGAAGAACAACCACTTACACAGAGAATCTCCACAAAAAAGTCTCTTTGTCAAATTCATTGTCTTTCCCTTCCTCTGGCAAGATTGAAGAGTGTGAGCCTAGCAACAGTCAGACATCACACCAGTCACAGCAGATTGGAGAAATAAATAGACATGGAGTTAGAGTTACAAATATACGAGAAGACAAATGAAAATACACCATACACCATGTTATTTGGGGAGGAAGACAAGACATACATACAAAATAAAATTCCAACCCTAGAAAGACAACCGCTAGAACCATTAGAAGAAGAACAGGACAATAGGAAGAACTTCCTTACGGGTATTTAACAGTACAGAATCCTAATAACCAAAAGTTAAAAATAATTCAATAAAATAATGTGTTTGGGGCTAAGAGATGGTTCAGTCTGTAAAGTACCTGCTCCATAAGCATGGACCAGAGTGCAATTCCATAGCACTGGGAATGAATCTGTCACCCCAGTTACAGGGTGGGGTGGAGTAGGGACTGGAGGTAGGTGGATCCCTGGCATTTGCTGACCAGTCAGCCTAACCAAATCAATGAACTCCAGGTTTAGTGAAAGACCTCGTCTCTAACACAAAAGTGGACAGTGAGTGAGGAAGACCCCTGAGGTCAACCTCTGCTCTCCACATGCACACAAGCACTCACCCAAATGAACACAGATGTAAGCAAGAGGGAGAGGTCATTTTGTTGAGCAGTTTGGATTTCCTCACCCATAGTCCTATTGCTTTGAGTCTGCAGTGGCAAAATGCAACGTGGCAAGGTCATGCCGTACGCGATGCGGCTTAATTTGCTCAACATGGAAAGCAAAGAATGAGACAGGAAGGGACCAGCCTCCCAAAATGCTCTTCAAGAGTCCACTCTCAACGGCTTGAAAAGCTGTGACTTTCAAATCATAGCATGAACTAGAATAAAATCTACAGCAATGTACTTTTGGACAGTCCTTATTCAAACTGCAGTGGTCTTCCCTCAGTCCCACAGGTTTATGTTCCTCTAAAATGCAAAATTTATTTACTCCATATCCAAGACCTCTAAAGTTTAACTGTCCAGTATCTCTCAAAAGTCCAATTGAGAATTCTGCCCTGAGACTCCAGGCTGGCTGAGCTGGGAGCCTCTGTGCAAACTTGAATGAGTTACAATGTCTCCGTTTAGCGCTCTCATTCCAAGGGACGGAGATAGAGCAATGATAAGGAACAATGGCACCAAAGTGAGAGCAGACTTCCAGGAGGCCAAAGAGTAAGAGTAAGCCCCAACGTTATCGTCAATCACATGCGGCGATATGACATTCAGAGCTGAGTCACAGGAAGGAAATCAGGTTTTCTTAAGATACGCTAGCCTGTAGATAAGCACATTACTTTCCTAAATGTTAAGTACTATGCTTTCTTTTGATCAGAGGACAGAAGGAGCACGTTCTGGTATAACGAAGGTTTCTACTGATGATATGCAAAGACCACAAGACCCCCCCCCCCAGGGTTTTGAAAACTAAAGAAATTCCACTAATTGAGGTACCATGACCAGTGTTTACACTTCCTTGTCCAGTTTCCCTGCAGTAGTTGATTTGATCAGCAATCTTGCTAGCCCAGACTCTTACATTTTATTTGAAAGACCAGCAACACCTGCAAGATTCTAAGGTCTGCCACTGGTGCCCATCAGACCCACAGGAAGACTTTTTTTATTGGCAGCAGCTTAAAAAATTCATGAGGTTCCAGAGAGGCACAATTCCTTTCTTGCCAAAAGATTCTGCCCTAGAAAATATTAGAGGCAATTTTTCACCTTTACATCTTTGAGATTGAGAGAGTGGAGACCTAGCTCTTTCCAGGGATGCCCCCACAAGGGATCTATCCTATTGTCCCAGTGATCTGATTGGGCTTGACTTCTTTTTATGAGACCTGAGAACTGTACCTCTTATGCATGAAACTTCTATATGTGCCTGTTATGGTCAAATTGCAAGTTTTCTGAATCTTGCAATTTTGTTCTTGTTGAGCTCCAATCAGACATAATATCTGTGTCACCCCCTTAACTCTGTGCTGCCTGGCAATCTCCTCCATCCAGGGAACAATCCTGTCACCTTCAAGCTCATCCTAACACACAGCCTTGGGGGATCATCTGACATGGTGTGACACGGATGGCCTCTCAGTCCAATTCCAAGTCGATTCTTCCTTTCTATCTGAAACCCCAGGAGCACATCACCATCCACATTTCCATTTGTATTTGGCTCTTCTAAGACCACAGTGATCATCGGTTAAGATCGGCTTGGAGATCTCTTGGCATTCTCTGGATGCATCTCCAAACTCCCTGAAACTCTTTTGTGAGGCAAATCCAAGGGCCTCTGAAACATACTTGTATAGTCACAGCAATGAATCCTCCACCCTGGAATTCCTTTTCTCTTAGTCAGTTTTCAGCTACTGTAACAAAATATCTGAGGTAAGCAATTAAAAAAAGAAAGGATGCTTTAATTTTGTTTCCTAGTTTTGAGGCAATGGCCACTGTGTTTGGGCCTGTCAGGAGACAATCCTTCATGACAAGCACGATGTGTGGAACAAGCATTTCTCTTCATGGCATTAGGGAAGTCAGAGAAATCGGAAGGTGGAGGTCTCAGCATCCTGCTCAAGGGTGTGCCCCACACTCGCACACTGACTGTAAACCTGCCCACAGGGCTCTGCCATCTCCCAGTGGCAGAGTAGGCTTCTTAAACCAAGAATTTAACACATGCACCTTTGGAAGACCATAGCATCTCATGTTCAAGAGACGCTTGATAATTACAGGGAAGGCTGATAAAAGACAACTCCATTCCAGGGTTAGAAGAGAGACAAAAGACAGGAAAGACAAGCCCCTCCACACCCAGGAGGAGAAATTAACAGGGGACAGAAAAACGTATGTGAAGAGAAACAAGTGCATGTCAGAGATGGGAAAGAAAGTGGACGAAGTTATGCCTGATAAATAACAGCGACATACTTCTGGAAAAGCTTGATGCTGAAACACATTTTCCATTACAGTTTTTCAAATGCAAAAGGAAAGAGAACTGCCTGAGCATGCAGCAAAGAGAGAAAGCACTGCATAAGAAAGAAATTCTCCACCTGGCACCAGAATGTTCCACAGGCATATTTGCAGGTGAAATAATGAAACTAGGTCTCCAAGGTACTGAAGGAAAGTCACGTCCTCAAACACCGCACTGTGAGTGCTTCTTGAAGGGGAAGGGGCAGGCGTGCAAAGATCTCAAATGTAACAAGAGTGACGATAGCAGTAACTGTAACTATCCCCATAAAGCGCTTCCTCTTCATGGCAGGGACCACAGCAAAGGACCTCTGGGAATGGGGCGGCCACTATGCCTGCTGACAAACCTCTTTGTCTGTTAAAGAATAGAGAGGTAAAATATTGGGGCAGGAGTGATGGGTAAAGACCACTGGCTGCTCTTCCAGAGGATCTAGGTTCAGTTCCCAGCACCCACTCAGCCACTCAGAATCATCTATGATTCCAGTTCTAGGGCATCTGATACTCTTTTCTGGCCTTAGCGGGTTCCAGGCATGTACTCAGTGCACAAATATGCATGCAGGGAAAACACCTGTATGCATAAAATAAAGTAAAAATCAGGGGCTCGCTGTATCGCTCAGTTGGCTGAGTGCTTGCCTAGTATGTACCAAGCCCCCGGCTGCATCCCCAGCACCTCAGAAACAAGGTGTAGAAGCCTATGCCTGTGATGCCCCCACTCACGAAGTGGAGGTAGGAGGATGAGAAGTTCAAGTTTGGGAAGTACACGGCCAGTCTGGTACCCATGAAACTCACGCCCAAACAAACAAACAAACAAACAAAATAAAAAGTGAAACCTGAAGACCATGGGAGATCAGAACTAGAAATATCTGGTCAGGTATGGTCAAACTGGAACTATCGAAAGATAACTGTAGGGACATTCAAATTAAACAGCCTATTTGAGCAGATGGAAATTGTGAAAGCCAGCAGCATCAGATCCCATGCCCAAGGGGCTGTGGCTGACAACTTTCATAAAACACGGACAATGCAAAGAAATAGATTCGATTACTTAAAGTAGATGGTCCTTAGACTCCAAGGCTTAGAGGTTAGTTGGTGGCTTCTGACTGGAACCTCGGGAAGCAGGCACTCTAGTGGCTTCTCACGGGACAGAAATCCCTCTGATTAAACTACTGCCGTGCATGATATGAGTGCTTAGGGATAATGAAACAGGCAGTTAAAGCTGCCGAAAAGTTGACGAGTACATTCCTTGCCCAAAGCAATCACAAAACACTTAAAAAGCAACCCACCCGACTCACACGAAGCTTTTCCAACTTGACGGCCTCCAGGACCGCCACAGACACAGACGGTAAGCAATCAAGCATGTGGATCCCAAGCACTGAGGACACCAGAGATTGGGCAGAATTCAGGAGAGACGGGGTGGAGTCCTTGTTTCAACTGGGGGCTGGCGTGGAGGAGGATGGAGGACGATGACACCTCACGACTTAGAAAAAGAAAACATCAGTTCAGCAAGAGGGCCAGGAAGCTTGTTCTGGTTCCCATCCTGCCCATGAGCCAGAAGCAGTCCGGAGTAGAGTACATGGACCCCTCGCTCTGTAGCTCCGTGCCTTGGAAGGCTCCTGCCCGCTAAAGAATTCTGGACTGTGTCCAGGGCTGGCTCTATAGTCTGACAGAACATGAAGCAGATGGTTGTCACTGACTTGCTCCTGAAGGCCTTTGCCACTGCTCTTTCAGTATGCTAGACCTTCCCCTGGAAGAGCATAAATGCACTATATAGCGAGGCTGGGCATTTAGGACCATGGGGATATTTTTCCTCAGCTACTGCAGAATGATCTACAAGTTGTTAGCCGAATGATCTACAAGTTGTTAGCCGTTTGCTCCCTGGACCGTTAACTGCGCCCTTGGAACTTTCCCTGTTGGGGACAGAGGACTGGTGGACATCAGGGTCAAAAGCTACCCTGAAGGAAATAACAGTTGTAACAGTTCTCTGTTAATATACCTATTTAATCCCGGCAAGGAACCTTTTAAGTGAGCACCATCATTAGCTCTCATTTTACTGCTAGGAAACAGGGTTTTAGACACCCTGGAAGAGTTACTCAAATTCTCATTGGTAAAAATGTGTCCAGACAGTTTGAGCCAAGCATCCCTCATGCAAGAGGTCCTCACCCTTCCTAATGCTGCGACTCTCTAAGAGATCCTCAAGTTGTGGTGACCCCCAACCATAAAATTTTTTGATGCTATTTCATAACTGTAATTTTGCTACTGCTATGGCTCATAATGCAAATATCTGATGACCCATAGGCTGAGAACCACTGCCTTATACCCACTCATGCCCTGTGAAATATTTACAGCATGAGTTTCCAAGAATGAACCACAAAACTTTCTGAACAACTTTAGAACTTGCCGTTCAGGTCTGGGTAGAATTCAGCCTCCTGGTCTTCCTAAGAAACAGGTGAAGCTGGGCTTCCCAAGAACTCTGCAGCGCAGTTCAGCTTACTGGGTCTATCAGACCTGTGACCAGGAAGTGGTGGACGGCTGTCCACGCCTAGCCAAGGTCTGCAGAGGGAGTGCTCATTGGCTGTCCAACTGCCCTGCCCCCCAAGGCTGCTTAGAATAATCCCCGGGCTCTCTGGGAACTGTAGTTGCAGGGCCCCCCTGGGTTTCCTGCTCTAGTCCTTCCCAGTAAAGGCGCTGAGGGTTTCACTGCCTGCTGATTCTCATGCCTTAGGTTGTGAGGGGCTCTCTACCATTCACATTGTTCCTGCCCGCTACAAGTCTGAGATCAGACTATGCCTGAGTTAATGTGGAATGTCAGAGCATGGGAAAGGGCCCGGCAAAGCAGAGGATTATTCACACTACCAGCTAGGATAGTCTTATTATTCCAGTTTTCATCTTTCTTCCCATTCCTAAACTCACTCCCATTTACACTTCTACCAAAGTCACCAGGTAATGTCCAAAATCTGTCTATGGATGTGACATCAGTGCCAGTTTGCTCTGCTTGTATTTTTCAAATTATAGTAAAGGCATTAGCCTACAATACTTGATGTTTCTTAGAGATGGAAATGTCTGTGTTTTGGAGATAAATATATAAATTTTTATATATCCTATGTAAGTAAATGTAATATACACATTATATTTATATAAGGTATAAATGCAATATATATAATGTATTTATATATAATTTAGATCAGCATACCAAAAATTAGTTTTATTAGGGCATTTTCTAATCGACATTTGTTTTTATTGTTTCTTTTCACTGTTCTTGCCCATCTTCCTGTCCTCCCTCATGCCCTCCCACACACAGTAGCTTCCCCCCAATCTTCAGATGACAGAGGGTCTTCCCTCTCCTTTCCCGCTTCTCAACACCCCTGTGCCCTCATGGTCTTCTATAAAACTCATAATCTATACCCACTGCCATATCTCATTTACATACATAGAGTCATTAATAGTTAGGATCTGCATATGAAAGAGCATGTAGTTTTTATTTTTCTGAGACTGAATTACTTCACTTAATCCAATACTTTCTGTTTTTACTTATTTCCCTGCAAATGATTCATAATTCTATTTTCTTTCTATAATTCCATTGTGTAAATATGCCACTTTTCATTATCCGTTCCTCTGCTGATGAACATCCAGGTTGATTCCATTTCCTTGCTGTTGTGAATAGGGAATTAATAAATAAAGGTGTGCAGATATCTCTGTGGTAGAACATAGAGTCCTTTAGGTATACGCTCGAAACTGGTCACGAGGCAGCACTAAGTTTAACTTTTTGAGGGAGCTCCATACAGATTTCTGTAGTGGTTGCACTAGTTTCTATTTCCACTAGCAATGGATAACTGTCGTGTTTATGAAAGAATTGATGCTCCTGACATCAGATGTCCTGGACATTCTTATCATTTCCCGGTGAATAAACTGGAACTCTCTACCACTGTATTCTCTTATGGGCTACGCCTGGCTAGGTATAGCAGACACACAAATGCGTGCCCCCGGTGCACGCCACACCCAAGAATGAAGTGAGCTGAAGGACGCACATCCCCAATTCTTTCTGCTCGGTTGGGAACATTCTGAGACTTGCACAGCACTTTCTCTTGGTGTGATTCAGAGAGATTTTTGCCTCCTTTGTCAACAGACAGCCTCCAACAGTGCACCCTTTGTAGAGGAGCTGATGCTGTCCTGGTCTTGGGGTCTCCTCCTCCACCAGTGCTTCCCCAAATCACCTTCAAAGTGAGTTGCTTATTGCCAATTGTTGTGTGAGGGTGTGGTTTTGTAGGGACTGCATTTTAGACTATCTTTCCAATTGAGAACACTTGGGTTGTGCCCTTCCTCTACTTTCTGCAAACACTATCGTGACGGATACTCTCTTACACATCCCTGGAAGTAAGCACGGGAACTTCTCTAGAATAGACATCGAGAGTGCAATCTTCAGAAGGACAGAACATAGCTCTCTTTAAGTTCAGTCAGTAATATCACAGTTCTGTATTGTGTAGAACAAGCCCATTTAAGCCATGTTTTGATTAATAGTTGATTAATTAGGAATCTACAAATGTCTGCCAGTAGTATATATCCAACATTATAGATAACGTAGTGATATTTTTACTTTCACTTCTCAGAATGCTTAGTGAATCTGCATGGATTTTTAACCTTACTAATGACCCATCTCCATTTCCATGGTGTGTGTGTGTGTGTGTGTGTGTGTGTGTGTGTGTTGATAGAGTCTTCCTGTAAAGCTCAGGCTGTCCTGGATTCAGTCCTTTTGTCCTATCCCACAATGTACTGGGATCACAGGTATATGCTACTATGGTCAGCTTTTATTTCCTTGCATGAGGTAAGTGGTATTGTTTGGCTGCTTTCTGTAGATTACTCCAGACACATCATTGATGTGGGATAAGTTAATTTCCAAGCACATCTGGCCAGAAATGCTTTCCCTAGTGTGGAGGCAGGGAGGGGGATAGGAGAAAATGTTCCACAATATATGATTGGGATCTGGACCATTTTTGACCAAGTATTCAAGGTTTTTTTGGTCAACGTGTTTCAGTTATCACTTCCTTGGGTCTAGAAATATGATCCTTAAATTTTACCAACTTAAACTGACATTATCACATTTTTAAATTCAGAATTTGCATCTCTTGTTATTATAGAAGTGAATGGGGCCTTTTAGAGATGATCAGCAAAAGCTGATAGGAAATAGTAAGGCTGTCAGCTCAGAAGGACTGTAGTTAGGGCAGCGTAAGGTCAGAGTCAAGGATCTTGGTGGCTGAGAACAGGAATGCATAGGCTATAGGCTTTCCTGTATCCGGGCTTGAGCCCTAAACTGCCTGTTCATTTAAACTTCCCAGCCGGTCTTGAGTGCATCAGTGATTTGGATGGGGAGATGGAGAGATAGAGAAGAGCTTCACGGACTCAAGCTGTCACTCACATCCTCTTCACCCCAGAAGTGGGCTAGGGAGGGTGGCAGGGAGATGCTGGGCCTGCTGCTACACTCCTTGAATCCCGGAGTAAGGGAGGATTTTGAATCCAAAGCCAGCCTGGGCTATACAGCAAGACCCTGTTTCAAGAAACAACAACAACTAAATACATGAAGAATATGAAGGGTACCAAGCTTAATTTAAAAAAGAAATAAAGAAAACACAAGGTCTTAGAATTAGTCTACTTTAGATACTAGCATGCACTAACCTGTTTTCATAGTAAAGTTATTAAATTTCATTGTTGTTTCATTTCTAAAGGGATCAGCATAATCCTTTTCCTCTTTAAAGGAGGGGAACCGAGAGAACACTGGCTCCATGCTGAAGACTTCTTGTTCAATACATCTAACTTAAAATTTGCTTCCTGGAAGATCTGGTTTCCATTCCAGTGGGGGCTATTGGTGCTTTTCTCTCCTCAAGGAAAATACTGAATGAACAAAGTCAGCCACTCTCTGAGAGTCACCATCAAACTGAGAAATAATTGTCTCAAACAGTGGGCAGAGCTAGATGATAAATGCACCTTATTCTCCAACCTGTGATCAAAAGTTCATGATTTGAACACTGCTGATGATTCCACTGTTAGGGCTCTGAAACGTTGTTGCTTGGTGACTTGCTAGAGGCTCAGTGTAGGGAATCTTAAGACTTAAAACCTCTTGCGTGTGTGTATGAGGTCTTGATACCTCGGTGCTCCCTCTCCAAGCCGCACCAGGTTTTCACTGAGAAGACTACAGTCTCCTTGAGTTTCTGTCAGTAGAAGGAGAAAAACACTCCCACCCCATTCTGAGACAATGTAGCTTAGACTGGCCCTGAGGTCATGGCTCTCTGACATCAGATTCCCAGGTGCTGGGATTGTAGGTGTGCCACATAGGCTGAAGACCAACCATTCTGAGGTACACCAGGAGCAGTCAGTTCTCCATTCTCCTCAAAGGAAATTTCAAGAACCCAATTGAAGGGAAAGAAAAGAAATGTCCACCTCCAGTCCTGCAACATTTCAGCCTCATTCCTGGGGCAAAAGGCTGAGAAATACTTCTGAACACCATAAATGATGGTACTGAATGATTATCATCAATCATAATGCTGGAGAATGACCCCCTTCTACCCAAGTTTGCCACTACATCAGCATAGCAGTAAACATAGCAGGAATCCTAGACATGAGCCTAAAAATCCATAGCTGCAATATTTATAACCAGCACATAATACATAACTTGTAAGAAAAGACATGTTAACACACAAACACACAAACACACACACACACACACACACACACAAAAATCCCAAGAAGGAAAGAAACATCAGAGGCTAACTCGAATATGGTAGATATTTTGGAGTTAACAGATAAGGAATTCAGAATAACTGTAATGAGTTACATTGATAGAAGAGGATAAGACAGTATGATATAGTAGGTCTCTCTAGTCACCCATGTCCCTCAGAAACATCAGGTTGGCTATACTCACATGAAACTACGTTCACAAGAGCTACTAGAACCAGATGAGAGAATGCAGTACTTGGTTTTGACATAATAGTAATAAAAGGTGTCCTAAAGAGGCAAGAAGGGTTGTCCGTGTTAACTCCCAGCCAGCATCCCCAGCTGCAAGCAACAGTGCATGACGCAAGAGCCCTTTGGCTTGGGTGAGTTAGTAATGAACTACTTTGAAGTTGGAACTCAGCATTAGGCTAGTGCTGGGCATAGAGTCCTACCTTAGTCACTACCCAGAAATAATGTCTTGTGCCTTGCAGTAGTGGCAGGAAGAAACCCATAACCTTAGCTGGCAAGGCACTACTTTTTGGTGACAAATGCCTGTGGTTGCTCAGCTCTATTACTGCAAAAGACTATTAAATCTGCTTTTAATACTTAACCACTTCTTACTAACAACATACGATAAAGGGCCAAACCTTTATCACACAAGTTTGGGGATTGTTCTAGACCTGAACTATC